ATATACTATAGTATTTGTTGATCATTTAGATAACAATAGAGATCAATATCGTTTTTTTTAATTATGATTCTCATATTGGTTATCTTTAAAGGATAATATTTTACTATTTGCTTAAAAAGAATGATGGCCTCCGAATGTAAAATCCAAGAAATAATTAAACCATTTTCTCGGTTTTATCATTCATTATTTTCTCTTTTTTTCTTTTTTTTAGAGTAATATTTGTTGTATCATATTCTCTCTCTCTTTTTTTTTTTTTTTTTTTTTTTTTTAAGAACGATATTTCATTTGTTTTTTCGTTATATTTCTTTTATTTTTGTGTGAGGCAATCATTCCAAGTAAAGTTGTCGGGATTTTCTTGTTAAACCATAGAAGAGGTAAATAAATTATACTCTTAAATCAAGGTTGACCAATTACAAAAAAAAATGATGAACACGAGAATAGACACGTAAACATATTGATAACGTCCTATTATGGGATGCGAACTTCTAATGACGAACTCCATGAGAAGTAATGTCGTTAGTTTGATTATAAAGTACGTAAACAAATCATCATAATAAAAAATAGTATCGCGCGCAATTTTCCGTCTTGCGCTAAGGTGGAAGGTGCAACTTCTAGAGTAACATATTCCACATGCCCGGTAATATCGTTTTCTCCATATGATATTGCTCGTAACGAGTCAAATTCAACATTAAATAGTGGGAGCGCGCAAGACATTGTGTTGTGCGGAGGTGCCGCGCGCAACTTCTGAACTTGCGCTTGGAGGGCGTGCACAACTTCAACAGTTGCGCGTGCCACCTGGTAGGTTCGACTTTTTTTTTAATTTTTTTTTTGGAAAATCGATGCGCATTTTTTTTTTTTTTGTTTTTTTTGTCGAACCACAATTTTTGCAATTTATTTATTATATCTCTAGGTAACAAGTCGGAATTAGTTAGATTAGACACGAAGCACATATTCATGTAGTCACATAAGCACATAAAAGGAACCGTCTAAGCATACAATGCCTTTCTAAGGTCAAAAAAGGCTTGGGTGTCCAAGGTACCATATCTTAAGAAACGACGCACAAATCAATCACTCAACGAGTTGACTTATGACATCGTTCTCCCAACATTTTTTTGGCGATATGGGTGGGATGATTGTTATTGATTTCGGGATAGAAGCCTAGTGTTGGAAACCCCTAGTCAATGAGCCAGTCCCCAATGTTAAGTGTGCTATACTTATGCATGATGCAATGTTGCTTGTTTGATTTTTACTTTTGTGCAAAAGGAAGATAATATGCGTTCAAGTCTCGCTCTCTAACTAGAGATTATCCAAGTTAGTTCTCGTTACAACCCATAGGCAACCTGGTGTTGGAAACCTTGGATCATAACTACGAACCAATCATGTAACCTCTAAGTCCCTAGTGGAGTCGCCACTGTAAGGAGGGTGATCCCATCGTAAGGGGTACTCTCCTTAAATTCCCTTGGCCACTTACAATCCTAGGACTTTACACTTGTAAGGGTGTATTAGGATTTGAATTCCTGACTGTTTGGGAGACCTTGAATTAGAAATGATTCTATCATACACGCTTTTTTGTAAGAAATAAGTAGGAGTCGCCAATGAGTTTTAGGAAAACCCATAAACCTCGTTCATGCCTTTCTCCCAAGTAGAGTTCAAGGGATATTTAGCATGAATCATAAGTTTACCCATGCCCAAATTGGTCTTTATTAAACCAGAAATGAGTTCAGGAGCGAGGGTACCAAGATAACGTTCCCTTTAGAGGGGAATCGCGATCCTAGCCCTAGTGCGGCCTATACTAGCTCTTCCTTTTGCACAATTTCATCACCAAACAACATATTCAACGTGATACCTAAAACTAAGTTATTTGATTTTATTTACACGCATTAATCATGTAGTAATTACATTGAAAAACTCGTTATTCTTAATTAATCAAATTCGTGAAGAGAACAAGAATAAACAATATTCGCCTTGTCTTAAGTGATAAAACAACAATTAATTATTCAAATTCTAGTCTTGATTAACGAAAGAGTACTATATGAATTAATTAATTAAAAGTTTGTTTAAACTGATCAAACAACACTAATTAATCAATTAAAGTTATTTAACCAATAAAAGAAAAGTGATTTATCTAAGTGCTCAGGAAACTAATCGTTCTTCTTTTATGCTTAATCTCCGTCTTATGCGTTTATGGACTTTCTTTCTTCTTCGTACCTTCAAGAGCTTCAATGGATGGATTAGGGTTGAAGAGTAATTGGGAAGAAAGAGGGAAAAGTAGTATGATAGTAAGAGGGTTTGAGATATTAGGGATTTCAGAAATTTAGGGTTTTTAATTATGATTTTCTTCCTGTTTAGAGCTGTGCGAAGACCCCTTTTTATAGGCGTAAAAATCTTGGTTTAAGGTTTTAGCGTCGCACCGTCAGGTTTCGCGCGCAACTCTATGAGTCGCGCTGGGGTGCCGCGCGCATCTCAATGTGTCGTGCGCGCCAGGCGCGCGCAACTTATTAAGTTGCGCTGGTTTGCGGTTTGTCTTATACGAAAACGCGTTTTTAAAACTTTCATAACTTTTGATTGCAAAGTCGGATTTAGGCGTGTGAGATATCATTGGAAATCTCTAGATGTCTAATTTCTAATGCCGTTAGAGTTAGGTTAAAATCTCTTATGGATCAAAAGTTATGGCTGTTGGAGTTCAAGGGTGTCGGTTTTGGGCCCAGTTTAGTGTTTTGATCATAACTTCTTCGTTTTGGCTCGGAATTGGGATTATAATATACTGTTAGAAAGATATTTAAAAGGGATATCCATTTTTATAGGCCTTGCACGGGAATTTTATGGTTGGTTTATCTGTTTGGCTCGGTTTTCAACAATGTAGGTTCCATTGGATCCAATCATTGCATTTGACGCACTTGGGTCCGTTATTAATCAAGTTTAAACATGTATGAACACGTTTTAGGCCTAATTAGTAATCAGACAAGGCTATAGGATATCTTGGTCTCAAATATGGGTTTTAAATTACTTCATAATGCTTTTCATAGTCCATAAACAATTCAACTTTGATCCAGCATGAAGAACGGGTTTTTGTAACATCATCGCACTTCCTTTTCGGGACAAGAGGCCAAATATAGGTGTCTACACATAGTTACCTTCATGGTTCCTTCGCCATCATGATGTTCATCAACCGTCCCTCATCATTGCTCTTGTTCCCTCTATTGCTTATCATATACTGCTCAAGTTTCTTATATATATATACCTGTCATTACTCAAGTTCCTTGTACCCTGTTCCAAGCATAACTTGTTCTTTCTATGCACAACTAAAAAAACATGTTAGATAGATAATCATCATTACTTTATAATAATCAAAACCTAATTACTCAACACATAACAACATGAAGTATATATGTACTCAATGGTAATTTAATATAAAAGCAAGAAAACTGATTCATCTTAATCTATATTTAGGGCCTGTTCTCTTACGTTGAAATTCAGTTCAGTTCAGTTCAGTTCAGTTCACTTCAGGCTCAGTTCATTTCAGTTCAGTTCAGTTCAGTTCAGTTCAGTTCAGTTCAGCTCAGTTCAGTTCAGTTCAGTTCATCAATTCAGCTGAGTTCAGTTCAATTCAATTCAGCTGAGTTCAGTCAATGAGAACAAGCCCTTAAATTGTACATTAAAATGCGTTTTAAACTGTGCCACATGAAATTCTCCTTTCTTAATCTATGATTTATCTATTTTTATGTAATATTTACATGTTTACAAACTTGAATACATATTTGCAAAAAAAAAGAAAAAATAAATAAAACCTTGTATTGGATGAGATTTCAACCCATGACCTCAAGTTTAATTAACAAAGTTTTTATCATTAAACTTTGTTATTATATGACATTTTATCCTTACAAAATGATATCAACAAGTAAATAATTGTAATATAAAAGGAATTGGTTGATACATTTATGCATAATTGTATCGAAATTATTCACACATGCAACAACTCGAAGCATCATATTGTCCTAAAATTACTTTGGTTACTAAAACACAAAAACCCTTAAAAAGTTTTACAGTTTACTTGTAGTAGGCATGTTTAAATATAGTCTTACTATTATTGCTAAAAGTTTGACTCGGTTAGCTTTTATACTACATCCTTTAATTGTTTTGTGCAACTTTGAAGAGATTTACGGTTGCCGATGCAATATTTGAGGGGCATTGATTAGAAGATAATGAAAGAAATTAATTAAAAGGAGATGAGAGAGAAATTAGGCTCCCCATGTGTTTTGGTGGGGAAATCCGATTCTTGTAGAGGGATTTGTATTCCCTCCGTTTTTTTCACCAAAAATTCAAAACTTTTGAATTTTTGGGTGGGATTTAAATTCCCTCCAACTTAAAAAAAAGGTATACATTCAAATTTTCCCCTTCATTTAAATCTAGCATTCACCATTTATGAGGCTTATAAAACCAAGCCCCCGTTCTCTAAAAGCATTAAATGTTCAAACCATTAATTACAAACCATAATCTGTCCAAATCATGAAAATGTTTTCCCAAAAAATAGCAACTAATACCCACAATTAGCCCTTAATTACCCAAAAAATTACCCCTAAATTAAATTAGTGTTGCACATCTCTCTTCACCATCATTAGCTTTGCATTGCTTCATCATTATCTACACAAAAGTGTAGGGCAGCTTCATCTTCTCAAAAAATTGCATCAGTTGCCTCTACATCATCATCAACAATCTGCTAAAACAGAAAACACAAAGAAGGCATGGGAGAATTCGATGAATCTCTGTATTATGATGTTGATCAACTATTGACAGAGGAACAATTAGCAGAGTTGTACTTTAATGAGGAAGAAAAGTTGCAAGATCAAGACATAGAGTATTATGACTCTGAAAATGAAAACATGTAGCCAGAAGAAAAGGTAGAAGATGGGACTCCAAAACCAGAAGTTCAAGGTGAGTTCCAAACAACCCAACAACCAACACAAGAAGGCACTCAAGCAGTCTACATAAAACAGTTGACCATGCACCAAAGGAGGGGGATTGTTGATGCAATGTTGGTGAAGATGCAAGATGGAAACTTACCAAGAGGATACAAGATGCAACTTTCAATTCAATTTAGTGTCCATGAATCAACAATCACAAGAATTTTCACAAACATAAAAAAACAGATGGCACAAGGTAATTTTATTGATGTCAGGACTAAGAAGATAGGCAGGACATGTCCAAAGCCAAGGGAATTTTCAGATGAATTCCTACAGTCAGGCCCCCTTTATTTAAGGCACACATAAAGGTCTTATGCAGCAGCACTGAAAATTTCACATGTCACTCTTCATTATTTGAAGATAAAGGGAAGACTAAGAACACACACAGCAAGTTGCAAGCCAGCACTAACATCAGACCATAAGGTAGCTAGAATGAAGTGGGTTCTTTCTCATATAAACCCAGTTCAAGGAAACGAGGACCCCGCTTTTGAAGAATTATGTCATTCACATTGATGAGAAATGGTTATACTTGGACATGATAAAAAGGAGATTTTATCTACTTTTAAGTGAAGAAGATCCATACATGGCACAACAGTCCAGAAAGTTTAATTTAAAGGCTATGTTCATGGCAATTATTGGGAAGCCACTGTATGGCTCCAATGGGGAATTGAACTACTACATGATGGAAAGTATGGGGTACTCCTATTCACAATCAAAGAAAGATCAAAGAAATCAAGCAAGAAACATAGCAAACGACACAATGGTCACAAAGGCACTCTAGAATGTGAGCAGATATGTCATATCAGATATATGTTGCTGAACAAAGTTATACCAGCAATAGTATCAAAATGATCTGAAATTCTGCCTAAAAATGTTGTCATCCAATGGGACAATGCAAGGCCACTCCAAGATTAGATGAAGAATTTAATGCAGCAACAACAACAAATGGATTTAACATACAATTTGTGTTCCAATCAGCTCAATCACCTAACTTAAATGTGTTGGATTTAGGTTTATTCAGGTCAATTCAGTCCCTGCAATATCAATCCTTTCCTAAAAATCTAGGTGAGCTTGTTGAGAAGGTGGTTGACTCTTACAACACATTCAAACCAGAAGTCAACAAGTACATATGGGTGACATTATAGAGATGCATGATCAAAATACTCAAGGCACAAGGTGATAATAAGTGCAAAATTCCACATATGAACAAAAAAAACTTGAAAATATAGGCATTCTGCCATATCAAGTGCATGTTGAGAAGGAAATAGTGATAGAGGTTGTGGAGTACCTGAACACAATGTTCAGGCTTGCACATCAAGGAAACCATAAAGCAGAAGTGGACATGGAGGTGGATGCAGACTAGATCAGAGTACAAAGCAAATAAGAACATCAACATATATTGCCACACATAACCACTTAAAGTTTTTTATTCTCTCTCATTTTTTTTTAATTGTACAGTGTTATTGAATAGGTGGTTAGGTGTATTTTGTGAGTTAGGATGTGATAAACCACTAAGGCAGTGTTGTGTAAATTCTAGTGCTCATGTAATAGGCTTTTGTAACCACATTTTCATTGGAATGAAAGATTAGAAAAAATCATGCTACATCACATTTAATCCGTCAGAGGAATACATATTGAATACAACAATTCAAACAAGTTTACCTTAACAACAATCGCTTTGTTGTGATTGTTGAAGCAAAATACTTGTTTAAATTGTAATTCAATGGAGTCCATTCATCATATGGATTACACAAAGACATGGTTCATAGATAAATGTGGGACTCCCTACTTAGTACTTCATAACCAGCATTGAGGGACTCATCGAAAGTGGAACAATATTAAGGAGCTAAAATTGTTCTTTACAGCCATGATCATTGAGAACATTATAGGAAACACACAACCCAAGCTGACAGCACCAATCACATAATAGCCTCATCATTCATCAATCAAATTCCCAGATCAGGCCATAAGTAAGTAGTGCAACAACAAACCAAACCAAACAGCAAACTAACAACAAAATCCAGCAACCAATATAATCAGACAACAAAATCATCCAGCAAAAGAATTAACTAGCAGTATAATCCAATAATAACCAACAACATAATCTAACTAGAACACAGAGCATAAACCAACCAAACTCAGGACAGAGAACCTGGCTCCATAATATAATCCAACAACGAAGCGTAGAATCTATGGAAAGGGTCTCACATAACAAACTTCACCCTTAGCCAAAATTAATGCCCCATGAATCAACTACAACAACAACCATTATAATCAAACAACCAAAACCAGTTACATAATCCAAACATTATAAGGCATACACTAACAAGTAAATCCATCAAACACCAGCACCGTAAGGCAACAACAAGCCACAAACCACATCAAGTAAATGTTGAGAAAATGGACATCATAATAACCACAACATACAGCCACAAAACACAACCAATTTACGAAATCAGGCAACGAATCTACTCTCAATTAAATCAATGAATAAAGGACTCAAATTAAAAAAAAAAAAAGAAATAAATTATGGTTAGGGATCATTACACAATCATTCACTCAGAGGGTTGAACCCTAAGGTTCAGCCGCCTCACACCAGAGCTAGAGCTAGGTCCAGAACTAGGAGTTTCCATAATTGCAGGAGGTGATCTCCTCCTTTTCAGCCTTATCCTTGGATGACCGGATGATTATCTCTTCATAAGGCAACCCCCGCATCCGTTGCAGCGCCACCCTAGCAGCCTTCCTTGTAGCCCTTAGCCTTGCTGGTGGCCTCAGTCTCTAAGATCTAGCCTTTTTGGTGGCCACAGAGGAGCCGTCACCACTTTCAATTACCGGATCTACAGACACATCAGTGAAATCAAGGGTTTTCTTACCATGGGACTTACCCTGACCCTTAGCCCTCTTCAGACGCTCCTCCTCTTCAAGGCTCTCAAGAAACCTTACCTAACACTTTGTACGTCGTTGAAGTGCAGTAGGGACTAGACTCACTGGACTCGTAAAATTGTCGAGGAAAATGAGAACCAGTCTCAATGGATTGGATGACGGACTGAATCAAATTTCCCTCTCCCACATCTGCGGCCATCCAAGCTTCGTTGAGAGGTTCAAAGTTCACCATTTTGGAGGGGGACTCGAATTGACAAAGATTTGGTGAGAGAAAGGGTAGAAAACGAAGGATGAAGAGGAGAACTGGAGAGAAAAGGGTAGAAAATGAAGGATGAAGAGGAGAGAGAAAGTCATAGAAGATGAACTAGGGATAATCTGGAGAGAAATCCAGAACAAATAAAGAAACCTAACCATCGAAATTTAATTTTGGTGGTTGGGAATGTGAGAAATTAGAATAGTTGGGGAGAATTGGGATAATAAATGGAGGGAGTAATTAGATTAGGGGAATATGATTAGTTTTGGGTTAATAGGATTAAAATAGACTAAGTGTGAAATTATAAAAAAAAAAACTAATTTTTTAAGTAAGGGCAAATTTGTAATTTCCAACCTTTTTTAACTATAAAATGGAAAAAAAATTAGAAAGTTGCACATAAATCCAATCATCCCGAAATGAAAAAATTTGCACAAAACAATTAACAGAGGTAGTATACTCTTCCATGTGCATTTACCATTAAAAAATTTGGACTATACCAAAGTGAAAATAATTATAAAAGATGATATATTTGAAGTTTATATTATAATAATAATTCTGACAACATCCTACGTACTCCATCCATATTTAAATACTTGCTCCATTTCTCCACGTGCGGAGTTTTAGGAGAAATTGGAGAAAGTAATAAAATATGGAGGTAGTGGGGTAGGTGAAAGAATAAAAAATTGTAAAAAACAAAAGTAGTACGAAATAGAGAGAATTGGAAGAGAGAGAATATGAAATTAATAAAATATAATTTATGTTAACCAATGTATTCCAATAGTTAATCATAACTTTTTAGTTATATGTTTTCTCTCTCCTACTTTTACGTACCCAACCCTACCACACATCCTCATTTGCCACGTCACCCACATATCAAAAGCAAAAAGTTAACATTATTTTACTCAATAACCCAAATTTGTAACCAGTTATGAAAATAATCTGGTTATTGATTTTATTCCATGTAATTTTCTCTCTCTTCATTATTTTATTATTTTTTCACTTTCTCTCAAAACCAAGGCAATTGGTTAACTGCTGTGTTTGCTCTTAGTATATCCTTATATCAATTCTTTGGCGTGTTGCATGCAATAGGCATATGCATTTGACGATTACAAGGTTCTATAGTTTCTTTCTTTTTGGCTATGATAACCTAACAACAATCAACATCAGCCGAGTAATGATATAATTATAAGCCTTATACATTTAGCATTTTACTTCTCAAAATCATGAACGATATTTGAATTAGAACTTAGGCCTTGCTTGGATGCTAGTGTACGTGCAGGGGCGGACCCACTTAGTGTCATAGTGGGTCCCGTGACACACTATTAATTTTGAAAAAAAAAATAAAAAAAAAAATAAAACAATTACACTCACTCACGCATCTTTCCACTCCCAAAGGCCAAAGACCCAGAACCCCTAATTCCCTTACAACACAGCCACGCTTCCCCTAATCCCCTCTCTCTCTCTCTCTCTCTACTCTCTCCTCCATGGCTCCATTGAAGAATTGAAGCTTCAAGCATTCAAGCATACTCGGCTAGTCGGCTACTCGCAAAAACTCCATTGAAGGGGCGTTTGAGCTTTTTCTTCTCCACCGAAGCAATCTCAAAGGAGTCAAAGGTTAGATCTTGTTTAAGTTCTTTTTCTGTAATTATTTAGGGTTCTTCAAATTTTGGTAATTGTGGGTTGATAATTGAGTCAATCATTCGAATTTTGATAATTGTGGGTTGATAAATGAGTTGATAATTGCAGGGTCGAAATTCTCCATTGAAGGGGCTTCGTACTTTCACTCTTTCAGAGGCTCTGAGTCACGCCTCACGCTGAGCTTCGCTCCTTCATTGAAGCAGCCTACTGCCTACAGCCAGGTTAGATCTTGAACTCTTTACTCTTGACAATTTGACAAATGGTGTACGAATTTTTTGTTAATGGAAGTAGAAATTGAACTGGGGGTTAATCGTACTTGTATTTGTATATTTATTTTTGTTAACCGTGTATTTAATTGTAGTTCTATAAGCCTATAACTATTGTGTATTTGTGTAAATTGTGCTATTTTAGGGAATTAGGGTGGTTTACTGGCTTACTTCCTGTCTCACTGTCTGCCTTACTGGTTTCGGTGGTGGTGCAGGGAAGGGGTCAAGGGGAGGGGGTGGCTGTGAAATTGGGCAAAATTGGTTATCAAAGACTCAAAGAGGCCAACTTTACCTGTGACAAACCCTTTACACTAGTTGATTTAGTCATGTTTTATAACTTGTTGATGTTAATTTGTTGGTAGAAAAAAAGTAATTAGAGAGTATGAAGGATTAATAATAATTTGACTTTATAAAAGAAAGGTTAACGAAAATGGGTGGTAGTTGTTTGTATGAAATTTCTTACAATGTTCATTGATTCTGTTTTTGATTATATGCTATTTTTGTGATAGTTGGATTAATAGAAATGTTATGCTTATACATCTTTATCGTGGTGTAAAGTAGTTTTCTTGTTGGTTATCATTGTGGGAAATTTGGATAAGTCAAACATTTAGATTGATTTATCTCATTCACCCTTTAACTTCAATTTCAGAATGAAAAGAAAAACAACTCGAGACATTTCAAGTTTTTTTACTAAAAAAGTGCCTAATCTAAATCCTCCTCCTCCACAAAATGATTTACCTTCTCAAGAACGTGAACCAAATCCTCCACTACAAGAAAATGAACAAAATTCCCAAGAAAGTGAACCAAATACTCCTTCACATCATGCAAGTGAACAAAATTCTTCCCCCTCTCACAATTTCCCTCAAAATGAAGATGGACAATATCCTTACCAAGGTGGTTCGGATCCTAGTGCTCAAATTGGTGAAGGAAGATTAAGTGCACTTGATATTATTAATCTTCCACAAGACCCCGGAAAAAGAAGAAGGATGTGTGATTTTCATCCCGATGATAGGGATTTAGTGCGGAGAACATACATTCAAAGAAAGCCATGTCAACCTAAAGATCATGCGTTTCCTCAAACAAATTTTGGGCCGAAAAAACGTCGATTTTGTGTTAAATGGTTTGATACTTGGCCAACATGGTTTGAGTATAGCGTTGAGAAAGATGCTGCCTTTTGTTTCATTTGCTATCTATTTAAGGATAGTAACACAGCAGGAGTCGATGCTTTTGTTAATGGAGGTTTCAGATATTGGAATAGAACAAACACAATTGTAAAGCATGTTGGTGGACACAAGAGTGCTCACAATAATGATGTGATTGCTATGAATTTATTCGTGAATCAAATGAGTAGCATTGCCACCGCATTATCAAAACAAACGGCGGAAACCATGAGTGCCTATCGTAAGAGATTGGAAGCTTCAATTGAAACCATCAGATGGCTATTGTTCCAAGGGTTGCCTTTTCGTGGTCATGATGAAAAGGAAAGTTCATTGTCTAGAGGTAACTTTCTTTCATTATTAACTCTTCTTTCAAACCATGATCTTGAGTATTCCAAAGTTGTTTTTAAAATGGCCCCCGGTAATTGTCAACTTACTTCTCCAAGTATCCAAAAAGATATAATCAATGCTTGTGCAAAAGAAACAACTAAAGCAATATTGGAAGAACTTGATGGTGGATTTTTTGCTATTCTTGCTGATGAATCTGCCGATGTTTCCGATAAGGAACAAATGACACTTTGCTTGAGATTTGTTAATAAAAAGGGGGAAGTGTGTGAGCGTTTTCTTGGTATTGTGCATGTTCCTAATACTAGTTCTTTGACTCTAAAAGCTGCTATTGAGTCATTATTCATGGAACACTCTTTAACTTTCTCTCAAGTTCGAGGTCAGGGTTATGATGGGGCAAGTAATATGCAAGGTTCAATCAATGGCCTTAAAACTCTAATTTTGAATGAATGTTCTCAAGCATACTTTGTTCATTTCTTTGCTCACCAACTTCAATTGACACAAGTTGCTCTTGCTAAGAAAAACTCAGATTGTGGTTGGCTTTTTATTGATGTACTTGCACCTCTCTTGAACTTTGTGGGAGATTCACCTAAGAGGAGACAATTTCTTCGAGAAAAACAACGTCAAGGGGTTGTAGAAGCATTGTCCTTGGGTGAAATTGAATTGGGAACTGGTTTAAATCAAGAACGTGGCTTATGTAGACCTTGTGATACTCGTTGGGGATCTCATTTTAAAACCATTTTGAATGTGCTTGATTTATATCCTTCAATACTTTTGTCACTTGATTCCATTGCAGAAGTATCTGATACACTTGATTCGAATAAAGCACAATCTATTACACACTTGTTGATGTCATTTGATTTTGTGTTTGTGGCACACTTGATGGTTGATATATTTGGAATTACAAATGCGTTGAATGTGGCATTGCAAAAACATGATCAAGATATTGTCAATGCAATGGTCATGGTTGATGTAACCAAGACTAATTTGCAAAAGTTAAGAGATGAAGGATGGGATTCACATATGGAAAAAGTCACTTCTTTTATGGCTAAATATGACATTGAGGTTCCAAACATGGAGGGGCAGTATATTGTTCCTGGGAGAAGAATGTATAGAGGTAAAGGTCCACAAGTGACTAATCTTCATCATTTTAGAGTTGAAGTCTTCCTAAGTGTCATTGATCTTCAATTACAAGAACTTGAAAATCGATTTCCCGAGGTAAGTAAGGAATTACTTGTGTGTATGTCTTGCTTTAATCATGCAAATCGGTTTCATTCTTTTGACAAAAGAAAGTTAGTTCAACTTGCCAAATTTTATCCCGATGAATTTTCAAGCTCTGAGTTATTATTTTTTGAACATTCACTTGAAAATTTCATTGTTGATGTTCGAAATGATGAGAGATTTTGGAATTTGAAAAGTCTAAGTGAACTTTCTACGAAACTTGTTGAGACGGGAAAGTTTGAAACTCATGATCGAGTCTACTTACTTTTGAAGTTAGTGTTGATTCTTCCCGTTGCAACGACAAGTGTAGAAAGAGTATTTTCTGGAATGACGCAAGTAAAAGATAAATTGCGTAATAGCATGGGAGATCAAATATTGAATGATTGTTTGATTACTTATCTAGAAAGAGATTTGTTTTACAATGTTAGCATGGATGATATTGTACATCGTTATCAAAATATGAAAACTCGTCGAGAGCAATTGTAATAAAATTAGTACTTTATGAAATGAACTTTTTATGTATTTTTTTTGTTCATTATTCAAGCTTTGACTATATTTTGATATTTTATGCGGTCGGTGGACGATGATGGGATGTGACAAATTGTACTTTCACAAATGATCAATAATTGATGGTGACACACTATCTCGAAAATCCTGGATCCGCCACTGTGTACGTGTGTCGCATTAAGAAAGCATGTTTGAAAATGATTACATGGTCCTATATAATATAGTTTTGTGCAATTTTTCTAATGTGCCATAACTTACTATATCTAGTATTCTTATTAAGCTAAACCATAAATCATGCCATTACGTTGCTAGACCATATTAGTACGTTATGATGGAGATTCTGATATTACACACATTAGTTTTGTCATCTTCTGCTAGCTATTTTATTAAGCTATGAAATTCTAACTTAGGGCCTATTCCCATTGACTGAACTCAGCTGAACTGAACTGAACTGAACTGAAATGAACTGAACTGAACTGAGCTGAGCTGAACTGAAATGAACTGAACTGAACTGAGCTGAGCTGAACTGAATTGAACTGAACTGAAATGAAATGAATATTTTATAAGAGAAGGAAATTAGGAGCTGAACTGAACTGGACTGAACTGGGCTGAACTGAACTGAACTGAATTTCAACGTATGAGAACAGACCCTTAGCTTATGTATTTTGGATTTCCCTTCCTTTTGCATTTATTTCAATTGGCACAATATGTCCTCACACATTTTTGAATCAATCGAAACTGTTAATAATGGATATTTATTAGTACTAGCTCTCAAATATAGCCTCTTTTGTACACAATTTATGAAATTGGAGAAAGTTTATGTCCACTAGTTAGTTACATTAATGGCTTAATTAGTCAAATCCTAAAATTTCTACGCTACATTAAAAGTGCTCGTTAAACATTTGTTAACGTATGCAACTTTTTCGACCTAATCCTAATTTCTCACATTCATGGACAGGTTTAATTAATTAACTTAGCTTGTACTTGTATATTGCTAGCTAATTAGTCACTCTTTTAGTCATCAAATTAATTATATGAGTCATCACTACCCCTTTACAAGATTAAGTTTTATGTTATTTGATATAAACTTTTATGAATGTGATTTGGTTGCTATTCCATGTATGTGATAATTGTGGTGAGACTGGTGACTAAGGTTTGAATCGGCTCATATTAGTCATACTCTACATAACAAAAAAAAGATTGATTAGTCGATAAGTATATTGATAAGAACTTATACGTTTAGACCACGGAGAGACATATATTGTTAAGATAATAAAGGGTAGAAGCTCATTAAAGAAGGAAATAGCTTCATGAGAAACAATTTGTAGAAGCTCCAAATTGGAGATTATCCTTCTCTTCTTTCCAAAGAAGTACTTTGCATGCATGCATTTCTAGAAAATTTTACTTCTCCTTGGGAACCATATCCTCTAGTTAATTGGTCAAATAAAAGTTTTTGCCTAATTTCATAAACACATACTTTCAAAAGATTAACCAAATAACTCTAATACAGATAAGTTCAAATGAATAAAGATCGGGTCATGATTAAAAATCACACTTAAACGCAATTTATCTATCTTTACGTTAGATGTATGGTCACTGGCTACGCAAACTAGTTAAAAATAATGATCATGGAACTTTTAATAGAGCATGGCAAACCCACTGCGAGTTAAACTATTTTGAAAGTTTTGGCATCTGTTAGAGTAGACACTCAGTTATGCCTTAGAGAGTCAAGTATGAAAATAAATTCTCGAGGAAATGATATATAGGTAGTACATACAGCAGAATGATCAAGTTTTTAGGCATGGAAATGTGAATCTTAAGAATTTGTACTTTCTAGTGGAAGTAAAGTATTCTATAATTGGATAAATTGGAGTCAAAGTAGCTTCATCAAAGTGTAGTTAGTGTTTTTTACAATTTTGTTAGTCTATAATTATTTGTTTAGGTTTTTATTGTTAATGAGAATGACAGAAAATGGTCCGCATGATTAGGTATGAATTGTTTATTTCAAACGTTACCTAATCTTTGTATGTTCCAACGCACTCGTATATAAGTAGAGCTGTCAAAAACGACCCGAACTAGTGAATTCGAATCGTTTTGAACTGTTCCGAAAAGAAACCGAACCGTTAAGAACCTGTTATTTTAAAACCGTAAACCGACCCGACCCGATTTTTTAAAACCAGAAACTGAACCGATCCAAATGTTTGAGAACCGTTACTGAACTGTACCCAATATCAAGCCGAACTGATACAGCCCGAAACCGAGAACAACCCAAACCGATTACTTTTGAACCCGATAGCAACCCGAACCATTGTAAACCGAAATCGTTTAAACCCGACAAAAACCCGATAAACCCAAATCTTTTACTACCTGTAACTGGTTAGGATTGAACCGTTTATTAACCGTAATAAGTTATGATCGAACCGTTTATAAACCGTAATCGGTTATAATCGAACCGTTTATAATCCGTAAGTCCGTAACCCGTTATAACAGTAGAATTTTTTTTTCCTATTTTTTTTTTTTTGCGTATATTTTATCATTAGTAAAACAAAAGGCTTTAAACTATAAAGTATTTATATTTAAAAGGTTTGGAATTTTAATGTCATTGAAACTCTTATGCTACAATATTATCGCCCTCTAACGAGTAATGGCTTATGGAACACTATATTGTATTAAAAAAAATTAAAAATCTAAATCAAAAGCTAACTCTAGATTTGTTATTATTAGTTGATCCTTAAATTCATTATACAAAAAAGGGACATAAAGTTAAACAACTAATTTATATATCGTATGATCTACTGGAATAACTAATTAAAGAATATTGAGGATATACTAGACAATATATGTTAACGAAATCCGTTTAAAACTAGCAAAACTAGTTGTCAAACTGGCTGAGTTCAACTTGAATCAATTACAACCCGACCTGATTAGGACCCGATATGTGTTGACCCAAAACCCGCTTTAAACTGACAAACCCCATTTTTAAAACGACTGAATTTAATCCGAACCGATTATGACCCGAACCAATTATAACCCGACCCGATAAAAATTCGACCCAAAAAGAAACTGTAATGAAAATAAATCAAACCGAACCGACCCTAAATTATTTAAAATCGACCCGAACTGACCCGTTAATAATTCCAACCCATTAAAAACTGACCCGTTACAAATCGAAAACTGATAAACTGAACCGAAAACCCGATTGACACCCCTATATATAACTCTTTCAAAGAAAGAAAAAAAAAACTCGTATGTGACCAAGAACCAAGATTGTTGCCCCATAAAACAGTTAAACAATTTTTTTTTTTGAAATTAAATAAAACGAATTTAAGTGGAAATAAAATACACACCATATAATGAAATGAAATACAATGATTTTGTTATTTTTGTAAGGCAAAAGCTAATAAACGTATTCGAAACGTTAGATAAGAGAACTAAAAGTGGGAATATTAAAGTAAATTAAATAAATATAATTACACCAATTGACATGTGATTTTGGCATGCATTCCAAACTTAATAGTTTCAATTATGTCCATAAATTTCACACCTTTTCACTTTTTATAACCTCTATTCATACACCATAATCAATCTATATTATCTCCTTTCTTTTTGTACTTCTTCACACCCATAACAGTATAATGTAACGTACACAAGAGTTTAATTTGGAGGTATCTGCATCATCAATTTGAATCGAGTTGTGCCTTAAGCCTTCGTTAAAATGACAAAACGTGAATCAAAGTTCTTGATTATTTATTGGAAGCTTCGATGCCAAAACAACTCAATGGTACGGTAGTATAAAAGAGGGTGAAACAAAATAGACGAATAAAGTGATACAAATTAAATTTTTGTTTAAAGAGAGTTAAAAACAAACTAGCTTAGTCTTGTACTGTTTTAACACTTCATAACATATTTAAAACGTTATAACTTTCTTATTTCTCATCGAAAATTGAGTTCTGACTTCTTGTAGGTCTGTAAAGTCTTCATGTCGACTTTTCAATTCAATTATATTCATTCCTTTATAGTTTATGGATCAATTATAATGATTGAAAGAGTGCACATGAATTAGCTTTTGCACTTCTTTCATTAATGATCTCTGCTTCATTCTAACACAAATCTATTTATCTATGTAATGTTATCCTCGTGCAAAATACCTTCTTTTCCTGTAAATTTTATATGCAAGCTTGTCCAACGACCATAATTCATTTCATTAAGGAAATTTTACGAACAACTAGCGCAAAAGTTCCAGCTTTAGCGAACAACTATTTTTTTTTTTTTTTTTTGCGAACAACTAACATAAACTTTATATTTGTTTTGTTAACACTACTAGTTAACGATGGACGTTCCTTGCCGTATGTGGGGCCCACCCTAATTCGTTCAATACACAAATAAATGAACAATTAACCATAATTCATAAGAAAGATTAAGAAAATGAACTAATATTGCCTGTTTTTTCAATCCTAATAGCATGAATTCGATCTCTAGGTGAGCAATTTCACGTATGCCCTAAATTTTTTTTCGAAGACTAACATTCAAAGAAACAGAGAGTATCAATTAGGGGAAAGATCATTAATATTAAGGAGATATAGTTGGAGGGAAAAGGACGAAAGGTGGGCCCCACATACGGCAAGTAAACGTCCCTCGTAAAAAAAAAAAAAAAAAAAAAAGATAAAGGTATTTGTTCGCAAAAGTTGAAACTTTTTGCGGTAGTAGTTTGCAAAATTTCCTTTCACGAAATCCAACTATAAATTAATTAAAAGTTTAAAACTCAAAAACATTAAATAGTAGAGCACAACTTGAGCAAACCATGCAAATATACATGCACCTAATTACTGTACTGTTGAAAACTTAAAATGCAACCATAGCCTAAAATGACAACAAAAAATTAATCAGATTGAGCTTTTTAAGCTTCACAAATAAATGACCAACTTCGTCATTGATTATATTTTTCTAATATTAAGGCCCTGTTTGATTCATCTTAATTT